GTCCCGATTTCATCAGCCTAGGGGCTGCCTGTTTACTGCGGGCTTGAAGCACTTCCCTTGGGTCTATCAGGGATTTTGCGATATCCCGGAGACCAGCAAGGCTTTGTCTTCCTGATCCCCATCTCTACGGGACGGTTTAGGTCTCAATGGACCCCCCAGCGGCAAAAGTGTCAACAGTGGTTTCAGAGTATCAAGACCACACATTGTAACATCACGACGTGGCTCCTCCCAAAATATCACCTCTGTTGTCATGGAAAATAAGAATACAGCTCTGGTGCCGATGAGGAAAATTAAGCAAAATCTTTTAGCTTGTTTACAAACCTGTCTCTCTTTTTTTAAAAAAAATGTGTGTCTGTTCAAAAATAAATGGAAGGGCAGAGCCAAACACAGATATTCTTGGCTGTTCTCTGTCACAAATCACAAATTAAGCAATTTCTGTCCTGAATTGCTAAGCAGGGCAAATCTCCTGAAAGGGTGCTTTGCAGTGTGTTGGCCCAAGGGTACAATCCGTTCTCAAAATTTTTGAGGCAGTTGCGTCAAAGGCTTTCTCAGTTGGTCGCATAACCCCCTCGCTCTGCCAGCGGTCGCAGTGGAAGTGTTTGTGCAGACTGAAGCATAGGTACACAGTGGCCACCTGGGAAAGCAGCTGCATCAGGCCATCCAGAAAACAGGCTCACCACAGCATTTCAGAGAAATTCTTCACAAAGAATTCATTTAACTGCTCGGAGAAACTTTACGCAAAGGCCTGGTTAGATATTCTATCTATTTCATTCTATATAGCTTCATGATCAAATGAAACGGGGTATTAGAGAATACTAGTGCTACGTCTCTATTCAACACTATTCTACCTTTAGGGCAATCTTAAGCAACGTAGAACGAGTTTTAATGCGGGCCTCTCTATTGTCCGAACCATTCACCAATCCTAGCAAAGTTTTGTTTTGGAGTGATTTCCCATCAGATGGCAACTCTGTATGGCATGTAGTAGTACAGATAGTCCTTGACTTACAACAGTTTCCCTTAGTGACCGTTCAGAGTTACAACGGCACTGAAAAAAGTAACTTACGACCATTTTTCACACTTATGACCATTGCAACATCCTCATGGTTATGTGATCAAAATTCAGATGCTTGGCAGCTGACTCATATTTATGAGGGTTGCAGTGCCCCAGGGTCATGTGATCACCTTTTGTGACCTTCTGATAAGCAAAGTCAACAGGGAAGCCAGATTCACTTAAAAACCGTGTGAAAAACTTAACTGCAGTGATTCACTTAACAACTGTGGCAAGAAAAGTTATAAAATGGGGAAAGTTCTCACTTAGCAACTGGAACTTTGGGCTTGTGGTCGTAAGTCGAGGACTACCTGTATATCCAAAGTCTTTAGAATGTCTGCAGAAGGGTTTGTGTTAGTGACTGTTCTAAACTTCAAAACAGAAGAAGCTTTGTAAGATAAAAGCTACAGATGATTACTCCAAAGGTAATGCTGATAAAAATAGAATTAAGTCATGGAAGCTGTATCTTTTTTAATGATTGTTATATTTATGCCTTGTCCAGCTCTGAGCCCAATGAAATTATTAGCTTTATTTGTGGTATAAAGGTAAAGGTTCCCCTTGCACATATGTGCTAGTCGTTCCCGACTCTAGGGGGCGGTACTTATCTCTGTTTCAAAGCCGAAGAGCCAGCCCTGACCGAAGATGTCTCCGTGGTCATGTGGCCAGCATGACTAAACGCCGAAGGCGCATGG